CTTGTGGTGGTAAAATCAGGTGAGTCTTCTTTCTTTCTGGTCTGATGGACGGGTATTTATACCTTTAATTCTTCTTTCAAGCTGAGCAGGGACATTCTCACGGATACTATGTTTACTTAGTTCCGGGTTACCTTGTTCCGGATAGATTCCTTGGCAAGTACGTATTTCGCCCGTTCAGTTTTGAGTTACTATGACTCATGACTATTCTCTTTACGTATTCCGACTCTTTCCTTCTTGGTCGTAAATCTTCGTTAGACCTTCTGCTCTTCTACCTTCTTACTTAGCATGCGAACCGAGCTTACTCGTTTCGTTCATATTTGTCTTGGCACAAGGCCTTCTAATTAATCGTAAGTTTTTTCTCTTTTATCACGATTCTATCTTTTATCTAGTCTTCCTTTCTTCGGTGTTACTGAAGACTATCTGGTTTCTTTTCCCAGAAGGTTTCTTAGATAGAATGTTTCTTACCTGGTTTAGACTTTTGATACTAAGTCCGGAAGGTGTATATTTTTTAAAAAAGATATTTTGTATGTTTTTTATTATGTTGTCTTTATAGTAATTTAGTGACCTTCGATACTAGGTCTATAAGTTGTGATGGGTGTATGTTATATGTGTTTGTATGTTTTTATGTGGAAATATATGATTTACAATATTGATTTGTTCTTGTAGCCCGTTTGGATCTTATGTTTAAGGTCTCGGGGGCTGACAACCAGGGAAATACAAAGTGACTAAAGAGCGATAGAAAACCAATACAAAAGAAAATACAAAGAAAGTGAGAAAACAAAACTACGCTCCAAAAATGTACCACCTAATTTCGTTTTGCCCACAAATCCATTTCAACTTGGACTTTTTATCCATTCCGGCATGTTGGAGAATGTGGCTGAGTGGTTCTGGTGCAACACTTCAGGAAAAAGTATAAGTCGATTACGACTACCCAAAGTAACGAAATGGTCACCATTGACAAATCCCAAGATTATAGGATCATTAGAGTTGGGCAGTGTGCGATAAGGGAAAAACGTGTATGAGTTGACTTCAAGCGGATCATAACAGATGACTGGACGATTGTAAGTACTTGCGATGACGAAGCCAAGGTATGGCATTCGCATCCAGAATTCCCGAGTGCACGTAGGTCCCTGGGGTTGAAGTCGATGAACCAGATCATCAACAACCTCGGTGGCAAATGGTTGTGTTTGCCGAGTTCTTATCCGATTCATTCTGGTGTGCATAGTTGAAAGTAAATGTTCATGGTCCTTTCAAAAAAAAGTAAGTTCCTCAAGCAATTGATGGCAAACTAATACATAAGATTCCTTGTTATATATGTTCAGCGCTTGGGCAATGGCATAGAAGCCACAGTTGCCCTGAGCGGGTGGATTGAAGACCAAGTTGATGAAAGGAATTATGGATTTGGGCAGTTGCTGCAATACGATTTGTTCCTCAGGTTTCACTACAGCACTTTTTTGCAATTGAATACATGTATTGACCTTTGTTTCAACTGTTGATTCTTTAACGATGTTTTTTCGATTTGATGTGAATGAAGATTGTGAATCAATTGGAAATACAGCTGAGCCAAAAGACCGACTAGCTTCCAAAGTGGCTTGTACCTTGGGATTGCGTGGTTCCAAGTTGAGATCGGTGGCAATCAAGCAAAGACTGAGTTCCGGTATGAGTACCTGTTGCAGGTAGAAATCGGGTGTGAGAGGTGCGGCCTTCTTTGCATTGAGATGGTTATAGGAAGACAGGTCTTTCAAGAAAATAGACTCTAGTGTTTGAATGATAATCTCAAATCCTTGATACCCGTAACTGAAACAGGTATTCATCAGTCAAAGTGAGAAATACTTTGAGTCTTGGGGTGACTTATAACTTACTAGCCAGGTATCTCAACGTCAATATTGTCTAAATCAATTCGAAAAATGGATTTGCCCTTGGTCTTGAAATTCTTCTTTGCATTGTCAAGGTAGGTAGAGCCTTCGACTTTGTTGACAATTTTGCTAAGGATCGCGGTATGACCCTTGATTCGTCTACAATGATCATCAAGGTCAGTGATTAGTAAATTCAAACTTTAGAGAGTAATAAAACATACTCTTCTAATCGTTCAAAATCAATTTTGGTCGGCCATCCGTTGCTAATTCCAAGTGGAATGATATCCTTCTCATCGTGATGAAGCTGGCAAAAGTCCACCGTCTGAATGAACTGTAAATCAACCAAGTAAACAAAAACGTCAATAAACAATGTCAGTGAGAAGTTGAGCGAGATTACATACAGGAAGAGATTTAGCGCCAGTGCGTCCAAATCCCTGGCGAATATTTGGCTTTGCCAATAGTTCAGCCATCAAGTCGAGGAGTTTGGTGGAAGGCTGCTCTGGAAGGGGTTCATCACAAAACGGACACAGGTTTTCCTCATCTGATTCACATTGATCATGTTGATCACTTAGGTTTGAGCGTGAAGGATCTTCATTTTCGGAGTCGGAGGACCCAGACACTCCTTCATCTTCCTCGATGTCGGATAATGTCAGTGGTACAATATCAAAGTCATCGACATTAGAGGTTGACGAAGTGGTTGCTACTGGCTGTTTGTGTTTGGGAGCTCCTTTTGCGCTGGTCGACGTAAGTACAACACCGTCAGATTGGGCCAATTGAGCAAGGCGACGAGGGCAGGTTGTGATTCGATGGCCACCGACGTTGCAGAAGCTACACTTGCAGGTACGAGGCTTCTTACTAGCCTCTTCAACTTCGACATCGGATTTCCATCAGGTGGTGTCATTTGCAGGGGCTGACCGTTTCCCATGAATTGATCGAGGTCGACCTCGAGTGTCAGTTTTTGATAAGATGGATCACGGACTAGAATAGAAGATTAGAATCAATAGGAAAGGTAGTATTTCATAGTAGTGATAAACTTACCTAGAATAGAAAGATTAGAATGAATAGGAAAGGTGAAGAAGAAACCAATCCATCATGACAACCAATCTATAATATATATAACTAACAACAATTTGGATATAAACATATTATAATAGAGAAACATGTATTAGCATAACACTATGATGTCATAACCTTGTAACACACAACATCCATACTATCACATCATAACAGTTTTGACCTCCGCATTGAGAATTGGAACCAGGGAGTAACGGCTTGTCTCCAAAAGGGTAACCTCGCTGAAAAGTTTTCGGAGGGAATGTTCAGGGAGCTCAAGCAAGCGGTTAAATTTGCGACGTGCAGCTCCAATAAGTCCGTCATGGGTCGCCGGAGGTTCGTCCATCGCAAGTTTCCATTGTGTATGAATAAGATCAGGCGAGATGGAGTCCTTATTATCTCTTTGTTGAGCTAATTCATGGCTACAAGGAAGTCCCCACGCGCCTCGGAAAGTGTTGGTGCATGGAATTTGGAGTGAGTCAGGAAGCAAATTATATTGAAGTTTGAGCTTTTTGAGAGCGAAATGTGATACAACTCCTTTGAGATCCTTGAAAAACGCAGGCATATCATGAAGTGTCTTTGTTCTTTCGATACCTAATAAAATTGATATTTCACTCATTTGATGCTCTTCAAAACGCTTGAAGGAGTTGAAGCAGGTTAAAAAGTCGTTGTTACGACCGTCTAGGAATCGTTTTGCTCGATAAAGACTCCCTTCGGTTCGTGAGGTTGAAGAATTACCAAAATGAAGCACCGTGTCTGTGTAGGCTTTGCTAGTCGACGAGCGCACACCAACTCCCTTTGAGGCAGAAAGGGAAGTCGTGCGCGCTCGTCGACGAGCGAACACTACCCGGACACGGTGAAGGGTACGAGACGTGTATAAGGTGACAAATTTTTCACTTCGATGGAGCCAAGTGCTGTTCAAATAATCGAAGATATTATGAGCTCTGGCAACTTTGGTCACCGCGGCGAGATTGTTATCGTAATCGCTTGGGGTGGAAGAGGAAACATATGTATTCCACAACTTCATGAACTCTGACCACTTGGCGTCTGAAAATTTACTCTTACAATTTTTGGCTATGTTAAGGTTGATATGCCAAATACACAATATATGTACTGAGTCTGGAAAAATCGAAGAAATCGCGTTGAATAAGGCCGGTTCAGCATCGGTTACAAAGGTCTGCGGGAGTCGAGTAGTGACAGTTTGGTCCTCGTCCTGGAATATAACTTCTTTGAGCTGGGTAAGAGCCCATTCATACTGCGATTTGACTTTGCTATTGAGGAAGCACATGGCCACGGTGAAGGACCGATTGGTGTTAGTAGTACCGACAATGTGTAGCAGAGGTAAATTGAAACGATTCGTCTTGTAAGTACAATCAAGACTAAGGACTGTATGGAATCTTCAAGTTAGAATGATTGCTGATGGGCTTGTGAAGAATAGATTGAGTAGGGTTCCTTCCGGTGAGGTGAGAGTCCGATGAGCCCAATGACACGCCGCAATCAAATCAAAAAGACCCTGAATTGGTGTTCGACCGTTCAGCCAAGTATCCCTGAGGCGATATCTTGCGTTGTGTATGTCCCGGACCAATGGCTGTGATCCGGTTTCGACCTTCAGGAGAGAGCGAATCTGGCCGGCTCAAACCCCAGCAGAAGACATGAAATTGATTGAGTCTCTAATAGCAGGTGGAAATCTCCGGTAGATAGCCATATTGTGAGGTTGGTCGAATGGCGGGTGATTATGAGTAGATTTGTTAGGGTTCTTCTTGTCTTGAGTAACAAGCCATCTATCTAAACCTGAGTGATAGTTAAGTGAAATTTCAAATAAGCAGCCAGTTTTCTTCGAAGAAGTTGTCCGTCGCTGAGCCACTGATGAATGCCTGTGACCTAAGGAACATCGTATATAAACTCTAACTGTGCGCTGTTGTTTGGTTTTGTGGCTCTTGATAGCCAAAGCATAGCCTTGATGGCGTGCAATCGCATTGAGATACATCAGGACGTTTTCTAGTTCGATAAACGCTTTGCCAACCTTGGGTCCTTCTAACAAACAAACTGGTAGGACACCTAACACCAAAACATGATAATGTTAATTCTCCATTATCTTGAACAAAGATGAAAATGAAACTTACCAATGGGCGGCCAATCGGCGTCACATTCATTTTGAATAAGTTCAACGGCCTCGGCAAGATCCTCCTCCCCAACATTATTGATTGTCGTGTCCGTGATTGATTGAACATCAAGGTCTCCAGCTGTAGTTTGGCTTTGTGTAGGTTCACGTAAGCTCGAGTTGATAGACACTGTATTGGTACACGTTGAAGCCGGATTTTGAGATTGGGATTGGGAAGCTGGAGTTGGTTCATCAAGAGGACCTTCAGTCGGATTTCCACCGTTCATCATGTATTGATGTGGAAGGGGGTAAGGGGGATAAGAAGTATTTGCAGCTGGTGGTTGTGGAATGAAAGTATTCGGAGGAGGTTGAGGGGTAACAAAAGTGTTTGAAGAAGGATGAGGAGGATAATAATTTGTCGGGTAAGAGTTGAAGGTTTGTTGAAATTGTGGAGGATAAGCGAGTTGCTGGTACGGGTTGTGTGGTGGGTAATGCTTTGGAGGTGGTTGAAAATGGTTCGGTGATTGTCGATAAGGGTTCATTGGAAAAGGTGGATGATTAGGAGGTACAGGATACACATGCTGAGCTCCGTGAGGGTGGTTTGAAGGGGGATAAAAGTAGGGAGGGTTTGTAGTAACATGAGGTTGAGTGAGAGTTGAAGTAAGAGAAAGAGGATTAGGTGAAGGAGGATAAAGGTTGGGAGTAACTTGAGGTTGAGTGGGTGTTGACGATTGAACAGGAAGTGGTTTAGATAGTTGATCACGCTGATCACCTTTGGAGGTGTTTATTAGTGAGTGTGGGGTTGGCGCGGACATGACACGATACGGAGGTTCAATTAACAAGTGTGGGGCTTGTGTGTGTGGGTAATTAAATGGTAGGTAGGGGGTAGTTGAGTTGTTTGAATTGAGATTGAATTGTGAAAAGGAAACTTAAAAGGTTGGACAAAGGAAGAAGGGAACGGGGATGTCCAAGAACGAGGGTTACCTTGACCTTATGTATCCTCCATGGCCATATGGCCTGTGCATATATGGCATATAGGGGCCGGTCCGGGCGCAGGTGTTCTGTGGAGCCCTTTTGTAATAGTTGACATGCTCTTTCAGAGTTTACGTTGATTTTGTAGCCCAAAGATGGGGAGTAGGGCATGAAATTTAAAATGATGGGCTGCGAAGTGTTTTCGAGCCCAAACAAGTAGCCCTTGGAGTCCGACTCAGGCTAAATTTGTCAAAGGAGCTTCGGGTTTTTGCGGGTATCTCGGGTAATACCCCAGAAAAAGGGGGCTACGGGTTATCTTCAACCGGGCTCAAAATAGTTGAATCCTTTTTAAATTTTACGGTGGGTTTTTTTTCTGCAAATATACGGTCAACACCATTCGGGACACCTAAAAAGGTGTCCTGATTTTTTTAAATTTACAGTATATTTTGCAACATCAGACAACTTGTTGGACTGTAAAATACCGTAAATTTATTGACTTGAAACCCCCTAATGTTTTGACTTGAGCCCCCTTAATAGGGGGTTTCAAGTTAAAAAAATGCCTAAAATAAGGGGGCTCAAGTCAAAATTTTTGCGGCCTTTTCTTAAAAATTGGGGAAAGTTTTTGACGGTACCGTGCTGTAAAAACTTTTCCCAATTCGTAAAAAAGGGCCGTAAAAATTTCTTTCGGATCTCCTTCTGAGCAGCAGATTTACGCAAATTCGCATAAATTTGCTGCTCAAAAAAATTTGGGAAAAGTTTTTTACCATAAAAGTAGTAAAATATTTTGACTTGAGCCCCCCTAATTCAAATGTCCCTGAATAAAAACATAGCTTATAATTTTCAAATTTTTAAAAAACCTCTACATAGAAAGCCCTTCCCCAGAAGCACATTCTAGTGTTTATTCTATAAAAAATGGATGAAAATTCAAGGGTCGGGAGGCAAAAGTACAAACATTTTTAGCCATTTTCAAGTTAGATTTTTTTGCATATTTTTACGCTTAAATACATTGTTTTACAAAGATTGTTTTTACAAACAACTTGTCCAAATTTATAAAAATTATGCAAAAGAAAATCAAACTTGAAACCCCCTGATGAATCACAGACTCGAATAAATCTTAGATTGATTTTCCCAAATGGCAAACACAAGGGTAAGCTTGTCAACAGTTGTATAGATGCAACCTTTGACAAGTTTACCAAATGTCTTCAGATACAGCCATTCCGGATTTGGTTGTCGCAATCTTTTTAAAAAAGAAAGTGAGCACACTCAAAACCTAACTCAAATTTCAGATGGCCTATGGGTTTATAACATCACCTACAAATTACAATGAAGAGTATACCAACTGCAAATTGATTCCAGAACCAGTCTTCACCCTTCAATATGCCCTTTGTCCACTACAATACTCAGATCAAGAGCGGCCACGCCAAGAAGAAGATATCCGGAGTTTCACTGGCTGATGCCAATTGTGAACTGATGACCAACGTCTGTAAGCGCTCAACTCAGCAATGGCAAAAGAGTTTACTCAAAACTGGTTCTGTGATCCAAGACAAAGCAACCTACCTACACACTGGCCTTATGCATTGAATGAAAACAACCTTCAACTGATCTTTGAAACCCTTGAAGAGGACTCAAACCTGATGTTGGATGAGATCAGCAACATCTTGGAGGACCTCACAGATAAAAAGCCGTGCATTTCAACATTACAATCCACCATCACCAAACAACTCAACTATAGCTTAAAGAAAGGTCAAACTGTTGATCCTTGGCAGTCCAAAGAGCAGCAAGCTGAGTATGCTAGAAGGGTTGCTAACCTGCCTTCCCAAGTTTTCCTTGGTGAGTGTAGTTTATTTTATGCCGCTGTCTTCTTCAGCTGACACCCTTCTTTAGACAAGGTTGGCATGAATGAACGTGATGTTGTTCACACTCACCTTAGGGCACCAGTAGGTCAACACGGACATTGTCTTTGTCAAAAATGTGAATGAGAGCACTGGAATCTGTGCGGTGCAATCTGTGAGCAAGGATTTCTAGCTGGAGCTGTTGTTGAGGTCAGATTTGATTGGGAAGGCTTCAAAGCCTTCCTGGAGTTTGTATTGGTGAGTGCTTTACAATATCATCTCTTTTCTATCTACACTATATCCCCAAAAGAATAGATACCCCAACATCAACTCTGTCCTCATCATGGACAATGCACCTATTCACATGGAAGGCAATATTAAAAACCTGTGCTGGAAAGCTGGCGTTCTTCTTGTCTATCTGCCCACCTTCTTGCCTGACAAGAATCCCATTGAAAAAGTATGGTGGGTTATGAAGGCCTTCTTAATACATTCAGGTGATTTTAAATGGGCCTTGGAGGAAGGAAGACGTCTCTTGAAGACATGTAGCAACTTATTCACTGCTGAACAGATGACTTCTCTGATACAAGGAGGAGGCTATCAGCCTGCTTACTCCATATGTAGTTCTTTTCTATTTTACTTCTGTGTTTTTGGTTTTATTGCAATTGATGATCACAAAAGATTACAAAGTCAAAAGAAGTTCAAATTCATCTTCTGACAGATGAGCCAAAACCAAAAACCAAAACACAAGTATATACAGTTGGCTTGATTTGATTAAGATCAAATGCTTATTAAGCATCAATCAAATGTGTCTTGGTCCATTATGTTGAGAGCAATATCATGACTCTCTACTACTTGAGTTTCAGATGTTGTGGTAATGTTATACCAATTCACGTTAATTAATTAGTCAAATAAACAATCACACACTCAAGGTTACACACTCAAGGTCAATGATAATCACCTTGATTGACAGCACCCTAAATCACTGTTAGAAGCGTGAAAGGATCTGATCAAGGGACTTCAAGGGTGTTTTAGTGCTATAACGAGATTGCAACGTAAAGACTAGAAAATCTCTGACCAGTGATTGGAAGTACAACTGAGACTAGTACAAGCATAACTTAGTATAAGCATAAATGGGCTCATAACAATCACCCTCATTCTTCCAGTAATCAACTGTTTCAATTAAACTTTCTTTTTCATTATTTGTCATTTCATTTTTCACTTATAGTAGTGTCCTCCCGGACCCCCCATTGACAGATACTCTTTTCCTCATCCAATATTTGAGGAAAAGAGTAAGCTGGATATTCAGTTGTCTTTTATCTTTTCTTATGAATAACTGATCTTATACTAATTGTTTCACTCTTATCATTTGATTACCTGTTGGTTTATATGTCAACACCAGTTCACTGTTATTGAATGTGTTGTTCATTTTACAGTCAACTCCCTCTAATTACATACAGTTTGGTGGGTGTTTTTCTCATGCACTTAAAGGAATATGCACTTATAGACCTCATTTTGTCTGGCAAACCCCTTTTTGGCGGCAAAAAATCCTATGCACATAGAGAATTATGCACTTACAGGGAGATCAACTTAGAGGGAGTTGACTGTATCTTTTCACCTTTTTATTTCTGCTGTGAAACCTTACAGCTTAGTTATCAGGCAGTTGTGACGTGGGGGTTGATTGGGACTCACCTTTAGTAATGTGTCACAGGAGTCTTAGGTTAGTTATCAGGCATTTGTGATGTGAGGTTGATTGAGACTCACCTCTAGTAATTTGTCACAGGAATCTTAGGAAACTGGAATTGAGACTTTTCACATTAATTACCATTTCTCATCCAGTTGCTCTGCTCAAGATGATCAAAGACTTCATCAAATGAAACATAAATGTCAATTGTACTGTAGAACAGATACAAGTTCTCTCATAACCTTCTGAACACAATTCTGTCTCTTTGGATTTGATTGATTGAGATCCAATGTGTATTAACCTTAAATCATCAATCCACGTGAACATATTTTTACGTTTGTTCACTCACCACTACTTACTGATGCTGATGATTGGGGTGATCAACTCACAATAATCAATTTCTCCAGATCTCAATTTCTCAATTGAATCTAAGAATGAATGAAAATCAACGGTAGAGTAGAGACCCGTTCCCTCTCATAAGCTAAACACAAAATTATCACATTCCCATAAATTCCATTTCAAACACACTGTATCTGAATAAAAACAAATAGACTCTATCAAGATAACAAGGTGAAATGTGATGTTGATCAAAGTTGATAAAGTAGATTGAGATATGGTTTGATCCGCTTTGATATTGATCAAGAATGATTCATATCAAGAAGATTGAATAAAAAAGTTGATCAATGTCATCAAGCGCTACAAGATGAAAGTTGGTACATTTTTTGAAATCCATTGAGTGGTACAATTCTGCATAAATTGATTGAGAACAATTCAAATCAAGAAGATTGGATGATTAAGGGGTTCCAAACTCAAGCTTGACAAGACTTGAGGTGCTGGCAATACTCTGAAGCCTTTGCTGACAAACAAACCACAGGTCTGTGTGCTATCCCTTGAGATTTGAGGAAATCAATAGAGTTTTTGCCAGAGAAAAATCATTGAATTTGAATAGTTGAAGTTTTTTCAGAACACTTCTGGTGGTGATATCATTTGCTGGGATGCGGCAGTGGTCAAGGTAAAATTCAAAATCTGGATTGGGGCGTGGAGCTGGTGATGTTGATTGTGATTGCGCAGGAACAATTGAAGGCAAAGTTAGGGAGTCTGCTGGAATCCGGGTTGACTTGCCTGACTTCAGCACCCACTCAAATCCAGGTAGTCCCACCGGTGGTTGGAACAGGGTCACCCCAGGTTTGCCAGAAGCCTGATAACAAGAAATCAGAGCATAGCCATCAGCAAAGCATAGATGGGAGTAATTTCAAAAGACTTGCAATTAACTCAGCCCAAACATCCAACATTTGGTATGTGAGTCTCATCATGAACTTTGGTCTTTCAGGATTGTAGCAAGTCACCCCCTCACGATGGCCCGCACAACCACTATCTCCATAGTGCGTCTGGAGTGCCATGCGGATCTTGGTTACATCAGCCTGAAGATTAATCAAATTCAAGGCAAGCTTGTGAGTCTTTTCTGGATTGGCTCCAGGATTATCTGTGAGCATGAGGCAATCAAAAGAATCCGCCTGAAATTTTGCAGGGGCATGAGTGCGGTGGAGGACATGGAGAGCGGACCCAGCAAGAGATGACCACTTACATTTTGTACCACACAATTCTTCCTTGGCTTGGCATTCTAATCAACCATGGCAGCAGTCACTCCCATTGATTTCCCTCTATTTTCAGAAACCACCACTTTGAAGCACTTGAAGTCACCATTGTTGCCAATGTTTTGTTGATGACCCTTGGGAAAGCTTGGGTTATTAGAAACCCAGTCAAAGTAATCAATGGTGCCCTTCATATCAGCCTCTTTGAACAAACCTTTACAGTCCATATGAAATCCTTTGGCCAAGTCAGTAACTGTGTCTTTGAACTCCTGAAGGGTCAAATTGGCTAGGTCAATTCTGACCAAAGTTGGACCAGTTTCTTGGCAGGCTGAACTCCCCTGCATTGATTGGCTATGGTGACATGATGGGATTTGAACGCTGTCATCTTGAATTAAAAAAAAACCCATCTTGTGTGGTTCCTGAAACAGGCAGTCTATCAGGTGAGGCACTTTGTTGCATGGCGACCAAAGAAAAGGCTGGTTGTCCACAAGCCCTAAAGCAAGGGCAGAATAATATGTACACGTGATCAGTCTACACTACTCAGTGACAGCCTCAAGGGAGACTAAGAACAGCAGGTGTGATTACTGCATGGCTAGTTGAACTGAGGAGGGCATGCTTCAGGTGTACAACTGTTGAATTGTACAGTTGCTGAAGTGGACAGTGGTTGAACAGTTGCTGCTCAGTGCTGGTTGCTCAAAGCAGAAGGTGGCTGAAACTTTAATTTTTTTATCAAAGGCATATGGGTTTTGGGATAATTCAATGTATAATCCTTGAGATTTTACAGCCAAACTCAAGGTTTTATCTGGTAAAAGACTTAGGTTTCAAGTTTGCTAACTTTCTTTTTTCAAAAGATTACCACAAGCAAATGTGGAATGACTGTAGGAAGTTTTATACATACACACACGGTGAGAAAATTTATGCAAAAGTTGCATATGTAACTTTATGCAACTTTTGTTACCAAAGGGGGTGTACAGGTCTGCTCAGTTATCTGCTCATTTAGGCAAGCAAATCACATGTAATACATTCTGTAACTTTGTTCAGATTGAGACACACATTTCAAAAGATTGACTGCATATATCACAATGGCTCCTCAGGAAATATTGATTGAGATGTCTAACAGTAGCATAAGGTGAGTCTGATCCTTAGGACCAATATTCCCATCTGGGAACCTCTTTAATGCTGGCAGTGTCATTCAAGCAATTTGTGCGTGGTTGGATTTCTAGACCTATGAATGGAAATAGAGCCATGTGCCCACCTTCTCAACTTGGAACTGGATGACAGAGGTGTTGATGAGGCAGCTTATGGACTAACCTGGATCTTATGTAGGAGGGATGGTGACTGTAAAAGCCTACACCAATCTTGAGAAACCCGGTATATTCAAAAAGCCCAGCATTGCTGCTGACAGTGCAGCTGAAGTAGCACATTATGAATTCTGACATGTCGCTAATGTCAGACCCTATGATCAATGGGGGTAATTGAAAAGCTGATTGTCACAATTTACCATCCGGTTTCTCCCAGCATCCTTCAGGATACTCAAAGCAACTATGTAGGGTGAACTTGTGAAGCAGGAGATAGGCTTCGGAAGAACAGTTGATAAGTATTTCACACATTGAGCTTGATTTCTAGAATAACAGGAACGTGGTCTGAAGCCCCATAACACTCCTGCCGAATTTCACACGCTTTCATGTTCTCCATTACTCGCTCAGAAACCTTTAACAAAGACGTGTGCAATTCATGTGCATTTCAGTATTGATCACTCCAAAGTCCAGATAGAGTGTCAGGAGCCCATGACATACGTAGAATGAGTCAATCCTCCATCCGATTCCCTTTTCACGGCATCCAAAACGATAACTTTAAAATTTAAGGTTGTTGGAGATACATCGAAGGCCAAGCTAAGAATCATTCACAGCGGAATCGAAATGATGAAATGTTTCGAGGCTCACCTGAAGTAACTGTTGAATTTACCACAACAACATTCAACGATCAATCAACTACATGACAGAACAAAATTGATGACATACGTATAATGTCCCTCAAGATCTGGGCGTGATACCCGCCATGCATCCACTATTTTGCCATGTCCACTTCCTTCCTTGGGGTTCAGTTGGCTTTGAAGGGCATCACACTCATCCTGCGTGTACCCAGCAATTTTGTTCCAACTCGTGGTTGCATTCCGCAGGTCTCCCGGATTGCAAAGAGATTGGTCTGAATAAGACAAAGTGTTCACAAGGGAGAAGTTGAAAATCTTATATCTACCTTTTTCTGTAAGTGCGCAATTGATATCGCCTGGGATACAAAATCTGCACGTCAGTGATAATGTTCAATTTTGATGCAAGGGTGGAATGAAGTGGACTTACCTCCCCATACAACGGGCTTAACAGCATCCAGCTCCCTTAGATACTTCTCAAAAGCTGCATTCCATTCATTTTTCCTGGTCATGAACTGAGGACAAAAGAGCTCGAGTGATTAGAAAATTGTGAAGTCCTGTACCTTACGACAAAAGGTCGGCACAAACTTGAAGCCCTTCGCCAGCGTTTGGAGTATAGGTTCCAATCAAATGAAAGTCTGTAAACTCTAGCATTATCATCCCTAAGACGTAGGAATACTTTAGTCAATCTACGTGCAATTTCGGGTTGAGCGCGACGCCACTTACGGCCTTTTGTACTGTCTTGGTCGTCAGCTGTTGGGAGGCCGTACACTACATTCAGAGGCTTGTGCTTAGACAATATAGCTACCCCCGCTGAAGAAAACTAGATCTCAATCGCCGAATATTGCACGTCAACAGCCAAGTAACAGCGGACTAACCATAGCCTTTCTTGGGATCGCCCCCCCAATATCGATACTGAAAAGAAAAAGTCGTGACATCAATATTAGAGAGAAATAGAAAAAAAATGTCAGAAAAAGGAAAAGTTCAAACTAAACTCGATATTGATGTTTGAGATGCATTATATCAGGTTCAGCCTGCATCTTGGTTTCGCTCATGATCATAATATCTGGATCTTCAGCTTGCAAATACGTTTTCAGGCCTTTTTTATCGCAGGCGTTGACTCCGCATACATTCCTATTAATCAGAAACAATGCCCAACCATGAGGACCGCGGAACAAATTTCAGTTTCTCCAAAATTGACGTCCATCCTCGCGATCTTTAGCCGTAGCCCTTCAGGATCAATCTACGTGACACGCTTTCCAAGTGATCCTTACCATGCTGATATTCGGATACAACCTTCTGCCTTGGGATCAAATTGTAGCTTGGAAGGAAATGCCTTGTTGTTCGGTAGATCAGCGTGGATCGGCACTGTTGGTCCTTTGGCTTTTTTAGTCTTGGTAGTCGGCTTGGCGGATGAAGTATCTTCTTCTTCTTTGTCTTTAGCTTTCCGTTTGCGGGGTTTTGAAGGCTGTGGCTTTTCGTCCTGTGTGGTTTCAGCATTTTCTACTTCTTCATCTCTGTCTTCGACTTCCGCTTTCGCCTTTGATTTAGAAGTAGCCCCCGGTTTAGATTTGGGACCCATTGCGAGACGCGTCCAATTCAGCGTTTGACTATAACAATGGTAAGCGATGCGGTGGGGCGTTTTGCGCGAAAGTAGTCCCAGATTCCGGCCGTAATTGATAATGTGAAATAAAGGATTCTTCAGGTTGAATAAACCGCTACGCATCAACAACTCAAAAAAATGGAATGACGTTCAGAAAGAACGCGCTCCAAATTGAAGCCTTGACAGAAGTGACCGAGGGGGCCGGGTCAGGTCAGGGCCAAGTCCGATGTCCTGTACAGTCTGGAAAAAATCATGTGCAGCGCTGGTCGGATGACGTCATCGGCACTATAGCTCAGTTGGTACTGTAGAGCGCCTGCTTAAATTCCTGGTCGCGTGTTGTCGTGGTGATGTTTTTGCCTGAGCCTGATGTGTAAGACACATTTTGTTGGCTATAAGGACAAAGTGGAGAAACATGTCTGATGTTTTCCACACAAATAAAGGTCGCCTCTGTTTTTAAGGGGACATCAAAGATAAGTAAAAGTCTGAAGAATTTGGAAATTCTATAGAATGTCCCATTGAACATCTCAAATGTAAGCTGTGGTATTTTTGTATACAAAGAGCTCATCTCTTTGGATTAACTGGATGTTTCAAAGGACATAAAAGTTGTTTGATCAACCTAAAAAGCTACTTTTGCTTCATCATCTCAGATTGGTTCTTTGAAAGCTTTGCTCACCCAGATCTTCCAGATTCTTTGGCCCTTTCCTATCTTTGGTCTTGCTCACATATACGAAGATCCCATCAATCCACACAACTGAGCTTGAGGCATACTACAACTCTAGGCTAGTTGAGTTACTTCCTTCCAAAGAAGATGTGAGCTCAATCAAACAGGGCATCTTCTCTGACCACCAAATAAGTTCTTCAAAAAAATTGCAGGCATTGAAAACCACGGAGATGGTTGCACCAACAGGTAATTGAGATGGAATTTCTTATCAAGTTTTACAACAAGGACTGAAACTTTGGAACCCACTGTCCATACCAAGATAACTCAAAATTCACTCATGAAAATTCTTTATGAATGTGCCATCTCCAGGGTTTCATTTGCATTAAATCAGATATTACTTACATCAGAAACGTGCAAAACAAACAAAAAAGATTTGTTCAATTTCTCAAAAAAAAAATGAGACATAAGAATAAACACTAAGCAAAAAGAAGACTAGTTTAATAGAGAGATAGAGAGAAAATTGCTATCCTAATTTTTGCAAGCCAAATAATCAAAAAAGAAACAGAGAAAAAGAAGTCGCTTAAAAACACAGACAAAAAATTGCTAAGACTTTTTCAATCCTTGGAACTGTTTTACACATAGTACTGATATATTGTTCTGAAAAGGAACTGCATCATAATTGATGTGTCCATCCGCCACCACACTCTGCCGCTGCAACATGGGCATTATCACCCCAAAGAAAGATCACAAAAACCCAAAAGATGAAGAGAAAAGATAGTGATATAAATCGTTCATGCGACCTTTTCATCATGATCATGAGTGGATGTTTTTCCGCCTCCAAAGAACCCGGTCAACAGACTAGGCCTTCTTTCATCTAATTGATTCGACTTGCCAACTGCTGCCTGTATTACCAACATATTGACTCCTAATCCACTTGCCATCAATCCGCTGGCTACATCCCCTAGACTCTTTCGAACTTCGGAAGAAGCAATCACCCCGAGTTGCTGAACAACAGGCGTAACCTCCGATGTCGGGCTGTCCCTGGACTCGCTCTTTTCCTCCATCTTCGATTTCAGGAATTGACTCAACTCGGCTGTATGACTGTCTTTTCCTCGCCTTGATCGACCTGTCATCACTATCACTGAGCTTGACGAACCTGCCACGGTCTTCTGTGCACGTTTCATGATTGTGTGCAAGGGAACTGCACTGGAGACCGTCTCGGATGTGATCCTACTTAGGGCCTCAATTCGGCTTGAGCTTCTGTGTCGTTGAGTACCGTCGGTCTGCTCAGACTCAGGACCGAAGTAACTGTGCCAAAGGAGATTATCGGCCGTTTCAGACTGAAGTCGTCCCGCCGCGGTGGTGTTACCGTAAACCGTATCGTTTGATGTCACACCAGCATGCATAGTCAATTCGTTCAGCCGACGACTGTGTGTCACATCCTCTGCCATGACTCGATTGGCAAGTTCTGGATTGTCCTCCGAAGTTGGCTCGGCCGCCCGAAATACCCTGACAACCGTGGCCGTCACAGTAGGTTGATGGCAGAACTGTACCAAAAGTCGGAGGGTAGCTCGATCATCAGGCCCGCCCATAAAACCAAAGAAAAGGTGGGTGTGATGGCTGGAGTGGAGAGGTAAGCCGGCACAGGTGCCTTGGTCGATCCAAAGTCCCACGTCACACGCCGATTCAGCAAAGACAGCACGGACGAGTGCAGCGTAAAGCGGGGAGCCTTCGAGTTTACCCGACAGCATGTTCTCGATGGGGTTGGAACTGAAGCTAGCAGTCTGAGGGCTCCCGTTGCAATCGAGGTACCAAGGTAATAGAAGAAGTTGAGATCCGACATGATCGACCGTTTGAGCAATCTCCTTCACAAAACTGTCCTCCGGGATAATCGACATCTTTGCTTGTGCAACCTCAATTCCACTAAGATTGGCGAAAGTCTTGAAGACGTTCAATAATCCATCGTATTTTGCCGTTTCTTCACTTTCGCTAGCCTTCATGACATCCGAGGTACGTTCACTGAGTTCGAGCAATCTGAGTACTGATAGTTGCGTGGAAGCCTGGGGCACAGTTGGAACGGCCGGGGCGACCTCGGATACATCCGTAGAATATTTATCATCTCCTGCCGCCATACCGATAGCCTTTTCGGATACAGAAGAAGCTCCGGGAAATGAAGCCTTGTGAGGTCTTGCAGACCATCCAGGCTTAGTAGACGGCTGGAGAAGCTTCACGAAGGCCTATGGTCACATTGCACAAAAAGTGGTCAGTACGATGCAGAAGTGAAAGGAACAAATAACAGTGTCAATAGACTGACCATGATGCTTGGTAATTGCTCTAGACGATTGAGTACAACCAAGATGTTTGAGCGTACGTCCGTGTCAGCGTCGGAATCGCTCGGCTTGAGGCCCATAGTGAGTGAGCGCTGTCCTGCGAGTTTGGCGAGTTCCTTCTTCTCCCGATAAGATTCGGGGTAAAAAGCAAGACAGAGAGGAGTTGTCACAAAGGTAGTCTAAGGCGCGCTCAAAAACGGAGTATCAGCCAAAGATGTTATGGTTGGAGATCTTTGCTAGAAATGATAGGTCAACTCACTACCACCGCCATCAATACAAACATCGCAAAAATGGGAGGGTTAAGGACTCCGGCTTTGAGAGCAATGTTCAAGACAATGAGCTGGGAGAAGAGAGGAGGGAAAAAATCAGCATCGTCTCAACACGTGAGCGAGTCTCAAGAACGCTATTGGGGCTGACCTCTACCAACCCTTTGCAGGCCATCAAACTGCCAACCGCACCACTCTCTCGCCAATCCATTCCACTCCACAATGCCATTGCGAAGCAAGGAACGAATTTCGACACTTGTGCTGTCTGAAGAAACCAGCCAGAAAGAAATTAACATCATCGGATCATCCATGGTCATGATGATTTGTTTGATCAAGATGTTCAAGCTTACAATCAGCACGCATATAGTCCAGCCCTAATGACAAGAGTTAAAATTTGGGGGGTTAAACAATGGTAAGCCAAGATATGAAAACATGAGACGTTGCCACAGCTTACCCAAATAGAAGCATCATTCAACTTGCCCAAATCTGTCGAGAGTCCCGACAGTGTAAAATACAGGGGCAGGAAAAAGACAGTCACGAGATCCTCAATCTTGGAAGCCAAAACGCTGGCAAAGCCCCCATCGTGAGGCATTATAACGCCGATAAGGAAACCGCCTATAAGGAACAAATTTCATATCAATTCCTGTGGTAAGCCGGTTGAGTGTAAGGTGAAAGCTTACCAAAGATAGCATGAACTCCGATAACTTGGGTGAACCTGATGGCGGGGTAGCATAGACAACAGTAAAAGAGTCAGTGGAAATAGAGTTGACTCATGGCATGAAGTAGTGACGACAAACCAAGCCGAACCAAAAGTCATCAGCAGTACGAGACAGGTGATGCCTGGGGTCGGACCGCCCTCAAAGCTGCCCGATCGACGAGCAATGACAATGAAAACTGGACGGACGATAAAGACGAGGAAGAGAGCCCAACCGAAGACAACCAGCATCACATATAGAGCAGTGATACCTGCCCCAGAATTGACGAGGGTGACGGCGAGAGCAAGAAGGACCCAACCGATGACATCATTTGCAACACCTACCACAGCGCGAGTTGGAGCAAAATAAACAGATTGCGGCAAGGGTGAGAGGAGTGTTACATGTTTCAAAACTTAGATCGAACCAAAGACCTTAGAAGAGACCAAGAGAATAGAAGACTAACCTGCAGCAAGGGTGGAGATACCAACATGGTTTTGAAGTAACTTCAAGTCGGTAAGAATCCGACACAGTACCGGAAAAGCAGTGATGGCGAAAGCGACACAGATGAAGAGAAGAAAATGACTGAAGCTGACGACGCTCGAATCCACAAAACGTCCATAGAGACCTTTGGCAACGGCGGCACCGACAGCAAAGGGCACGATAAGCCCGACCAACCCGACTCCCGTAGCTGAGCGCCAGTTCTTAAGCATCAACTTGAAGTCCACCTCTAGGCCAACGATGAAGAGGAACAGTACAAGTCCAATATTTGCTACGAGCGAGAGATAGGGTAGTGAGATAGCAGGGAAGATGGTATTGGTAAAATTAGGGATTCTACCCATTGCCGTCGGCCCGCTAGAGTGTATCGAAAGGGTAAAGAGAGCATAAGTATGGAACGGACAGTAAATCGAGATTGATTGAGAAGAGATACTGACAGGATGATACCCCCGATGACTTCAGAGATAACTTTGGGTTGACGAATCCTCTTGAAGAAGAAGCCAAGTACATTGCTAAGTGTGATGATGATGACCGCTTGGCTTTGGGTGAAAGTGACGAGAGTGATCAAAAAGGATAAGTAAGGGATGAAGCCTAGATCTGCACAAGAAGGAAAAGAGTTACATGATGAATAGGACTAGCGGACTGAAAGGATTGGAGGAATTAAGAAGTTATTAGTTTGATAGGCATTAGCAAGTTAGAGAAATGTAGAAAATCAAAACTTGAAACTCAACTCAGTGGAATCGAATTCAAATGGATTCTTGTGATTCGGGTCAAGAAGAGATTGAGCAGCAACTTTAGTAGAAGAAGTGGAATTAGTTGGTGTGGACATCTCTTTGAGTTTGAATCTGAGAATGAGAATGGGATTAGATGAAAGGATTCAGTGATCTCAACACGACGGTTTTGGAAGGAAGCGTGAGGAAGAGAGCTCAGATGGATTGAGAAAGTTGGACCCCTGGTGGTATAAGAGAAGTACAAAAATGAGCTGGTTGAGAATCAAATCTTCATCGATCGATACAGTCAGTGTAGTATTTAAGTTTGAATACTATTTTTGGAATTGTATCTTTGAAGTGGGTGGATTAGGGTGGATTGGATTCTAAAGTCATGCCAGTTCATCAAACCTCATGGTCTTTTATGTAATAGCTTTTAATCCATTGCTACTCTCCTCGGGCTCGCCCTCACCTTCGCCATCTGTACATACACATTCAGGCACATTCATCCAATTTTAATGTGGTTGGTCTAGATGGCGGACTCTGGCGGGCTAGCTAACGTGTTCTAGTACGCGGGCGTCGCTGGTGATGTGTGCATGGTTCCTGAGTCTCAATTGATAACACCGGTGTGGCATTTTAGCCACAATCCAATTGTTCAAGCACAAGTCCAGATTCCCGACGGAGATCCGTAAGATGCCTCTTTGAGCGCGATCTTCAAGTGCCCAGGGTACATACATAGCCATGAGAATTTTCACGGACCACTCGGATTCCAAGACACCCACACGGTCGTGCTTGGCTTCATCGTTTCAGCGCTTCCTCCGTCTCGGTCTCGGCTTCAAAATCACAACGATGGCAAATTGTTTATTTGACGTGTAGCCTCTCGCATAATCTCTCTTGCCACTCGGTCTCCACGTCGGAATCACACCGGATGAACGGCATCGTGTATCTTGCGGCAGGAACACAGAGAACGATGGCCAGCAGCTTCTAGACTCAGAGGCATTTGCGCTGGATCATGACTTCTGGAGAAAGATGGCAGAAGGATTTTTGCAAACACCACAATCTGCCCCGGTCCGGGGCTGGGCCACGAGAGTTGAACATGCCCTCACGCCAGATTTAGCTTTACAATTCCACTTTTACCATTCAGTAGATCCATCATCAGATCAGCGCAGTGGCAGCCGGGAGGGGTGGGCGATAGTTGAGGTGCAGCATAGAAACCACACATCTTAATCTTCCCGATTCTGGTTAACAATAACCTCAAAAGCTTTCGAGCCCTTGTCCAAATTTTGACGCATCCAGCGTCATCAGAAGAAATAGACTCAAACCTAGTCAACACGATTGACCTGAATGCCTGCTGATCAGCTCCATCATCATGGGCTACCCTCTTGTCTTACTCTTCAGCACAAACCCTGTCTACATAGTCACCAGAGCTTTCTTTCACAAGGGAGGTGCAATGAAGGGCACTGGGCCGATCTCATTTGCTTTGTCACCTGTCCGAAGCATCGACATGGAGCTCGAGTAACAAACGCGTAGGGGAGGACCAGATGACGCGTTCTGAAGACTCGTGATGCGTGATTGATCTGATTACACGTTGAAAAGCGCATTCACCCACCTTGAACCTTTGTGACATGAAGAATGGACGGAGAAGAGGTCCAATCAGACGGTACTTTGATAGTTTGGTCGGGCAGAATTGAATAACTGAGTGGCATGTTAATTCTTCACAAGAAACAACACAAAGAGTATATCAAATTGCTCTGTTGCTTTTTGATCATCATCAACTGCTAAGGACATGTTTGCTCAAGCTGATTCTGATCAGAATGCACATTCTATGAATCTTAAAATGGAAAATGATTTGCATTGGGCAGAGCAGGTATTCTGAATTCCACAGAACATGTATTTTGATGAGACTCAGATTAATCAAATGCACCCTGGATCAGGTTCAATAATTTTATCTTTCAATGCAGAAATAATAACAGGTGATAAGATGAGAGAACTTACCCACTTTCTTGACCTATCATAGATTGGATGGAAAAACAGAGTTCTTGAAAATTCTTGAGTGGATGTCTTGAAAGATGAAGAAATTCAGCGTTAACTTTTCTAATATCCATCCCTAATCATGGAACTTGATTTCTTGCCCAGGCATCTTGAACACATCAAGACACATGATGCTCTTCAGCTCAGATCAAGTGGTCTGGTACTAAAAAATGTTGAGCTTTGGTGATAAGACTTGATGAAATAGCACGTTAGTTGGTAATGAGACCACAGCCTCGAGTGGACTTCCAGTGCTTCTAAACATGCGATATCATCCCCTCCAGCTTCCCCCGCATCTCTTCGACGTATAAGCAGTTGAAGAGTGAGAGGATTCAAAGAGTACAGGCTAGCCACACACCTCCGTGGTTTTCAATCTAATTGAAAATGGTCTTAAGGTCATACTAGACAATCAAGGTGCAGAGCTAGACTAACTAAAAGAATACCCAGTCACTCATACAAGCAGATCCCCAGCTCAGAATCTTGTTTTTTGTCTGAGTTTGGTCCAAATGAAGAAACTTCTATCAAGACAAGGTCAATCTTTATTATTTGACTTTTTCAACAATGTTTAAACAGTGATTTTTTCAAAGAAATGATGGTACACATAAGACCAATCTCTGATTGTTCTTGCAGTATGAGATACGATAAATTAGGTGGTTGAATTTTAAAAGGAAAAGGCTTTCACATTAAGGCTTCATCGCTACTGAATTGAGGCATCGATTGGAGGACTTTTCAGATAATCCTGTTTTCGTCTTGGAAAAATTGACATAGAGCTCTTCCTAGCCTTCATCCGAGATGAAGAATATGTCCTTGGGTCAACCTTGGAGGGAATTTGTAGCTGTGGATCAGTAACCACATTACATGTATTGTGTAGGGTATGTTCCCCATGGTAAAAAGAGTTCTCAAGGCCAGAAGGTGATCCCAGGCGATTAGAGTAACCAGTGACGTACTTCTGCCGGGAATCAGCGTGGTAAGAGACTGGCGGGACCTTATTGGAGGGGAACTGGACGCAGCCGGATACATCAGACATATTGGGTTTCGCCAAGTCTTCTCCGAGTTCGCGTGAATCTGTATGGGCTGCAATGAAAATACAAAGAAATTTTGTGGATTTGTAAACTCACTGAGAAACCTAATAGGTCAGAAATGTAGATGAGTTTTTTTTACCTTGCAATAGAAGACCTCTGTCAAAGGTTACAAAACAGATGATCGCAAAAATCAAACTGGCAAAAAGCAAAACACATGCAGTGACACCCGTAAACTTTACTAATCAAGGACAAAATAAACATATGAATATTCGGGAGGCAGTCAGTGTATGGACAATTGAGTTCTCTGGTCTGCATAGGGCACTCCCTACGTACAGAATATCCAATTTTCAGTCATGACATGCGAGTCTTTAGACGCAAGTAGAAATATGCTTAGTATCCTGAATAAAAAAAACAATCTTCAACTGCTCTATACACAGAGATCTTTTGAATAGTGTAGATCTTGAGCGTACAGAAGCATAAAATCGAAAACCACAAAACAGATCAACCCGATGATGTTTTCGTTGTTTAATGACCAGCTACCCTCAGTAACGGGGAAGTTTATTTGATTAATGACGGGGTCAGAAACTATTGGATCAGTTTTCGACAGCCAACATTGAGATTATGAACATGAACATTGATAAAACCTGACTCACTGTCCTAAAAACAGCCAAGGTAAAGAGAGACCAAGAAGAGCAATCAAAATCTTCTTGAAGAGGGGAGACCTGTGCAGATGGTTTGATTGCTCGTTTGGATCCCATACGTGTATGATTAATTCATCGAGCCAAAGTGACTATAGCAGGACTTTCTCAGTAATATCGGATGTTTAAGTCATGCTTCTCAATTGATGAGCTCACCAGAAATACAACAATGAAGTATGCGTTCAAATGTAAGGTAACAGTGAATGCAAGTGAAAAACTATGTGCAACTCGCACAGTTCGACCTGCTCCTAATCTTTTAAAAGTTCGCCAGTCCAGAACCTATAACCCCCAAACATAGTGTCAGCCATTCATCTTTGACACGAAAGTACAAACGTCCTACTCACAGAATACAATTTGTACGATACATAGGAGGTGGCTAATAATCCTAGTACGGCAAAGACAACAGCAGCTGAATCCAGTCGTAGTACGTCAGCCCAGTACATCGGAAGGACGTCTATTCCGCCACAATGGTTGATGACCACCTGATGAAACTGTTCCAAATATACCAACATGAGTGATTCTTTATGTTCAAAGTCTTCTCAGCTACATCTCGAGGATACCACCCGGGTGTTGACGTACATATTCGTGTAACAGATTGGTTTCGTGAAGATCGAGGGCGCCAAACACAGTGATGATTATATCTGCTACCCACACCGCTGCGAGATGAGGGACAGACTCAAGTATCAATGCCCACATGCCCAGACCCCAGACCTACATCGGATGACTCCAGGATTAGATCATCGTAGCCTGGCTCAAGAAGCCAATAAGGTATGTGAACAGCTTACCCAGGGCTGAAAGACCACAGTAGCTATATTCGTGCGGTAATTTCGATCTAGATTCAAGAGGGGCTTCTTGAGTTCTTGGATGCACTCAGAGTTTAAAGTTACCAGCTTATTGTCAAGAATGAATGATGTGGAATTGGCCATAGAACCGTCTACCGTAGAACCATTGCGTGCTTTCTGTATTGCCGTTCGCAGCGGCAAAACCTTAGATTTCAGAGCTTCAGGATGTTCCATGGAGAAGATGATGTTAAGCAACAACTTGGCCCCATTATGCTAGATATGTTTGGAGTTCCATAATGCATGAGCAACAGTGATAAAAGGCTTTTCAGACGCTGGGACATAAGTGTTCAAAAGACTGACATTTATAGTGAGACTTCGACTGCAAAGCCAACACTGAAGTAAAGTTAAAGATGTGGTAATTATGACGAAGATGCACAAAAACCGATGCGAAAATAGTCGATAAAGCTAAAAGCACAAAATGCGAGTGTTCAGCGTTCAAGATCTTCAGCGCAAGGAATCTGAGATGGCTTACATAACCCGTCTCTCGGAAGCATGAAGGCATAATGTGGGCCAAATCAGATTAATTTGCGGTGTTCGTATAGGGCATTAACAAGGAAGACAGTCGTCCGTATGCCAGCCTTGAACTTAAAGAATAGGTGGTCCAACGAATATGTGATTAAAAAGATTATGTACCTTGTCAAATTGAATTGCTTCGGAGGATTAGAATGAAATTTCCTCTCGATGGGAGGAAGACTTCTCTCTTTCATTTCGATTACAACAGTAGTCAATAAAACACCCTCGACACACCACACGCTGATCTTGGAGACATTGTCGTCTGTCTCCGCAATGCCTGAGTTGCTAGAGACCATCATGCGGGTTTCGGTGGATGGAGTTCGAATGCATCTTTCAATAAAGCTAACCTGAGGAGTTTACATATCATCTGTTTCTCGTTCGCTTCCGAGTCGTAATCTGTGATCCCGGTACCTTTCACAACGACGTGACTTGCAACCAGGTCAAGAGCAAAGACTCTTCCCAACGACGCATCGATTGTTTAAGGCTCGAACGGTTTTCTGATCATCTTGTTCTTACATCATCACTGCGGGGGTTCAAGTTGACGTCGTTTACGTCGTTAGAAGCTCTCAACAAAATATTTAAGAATAGGTTAGTGTTGAAGTGGTTCAAGCTGATACTCACGATGAGAGTGATTTAGCTTGAATCGGGGCGTTGAGCCCTAATTGCAATGTAGTGATAAGAACTATACAGAATAGTTAAGTACATGTGCAAGACTCAAAGCATCAAAAAGGTCCGCTATGGGGCGGCCTAAAAAGTAACTACTATATAAGATCTCTATGAATGGTAAAGAGCGTCACTCATGGTAAAGAGATTCGTCTATATTTTTTGGATGAGGTAAAGAGCACAGCGTGCAGATCATTCGCAAGGCGAATGATCACTCATCGTACAGGGAGGCTCTTTCACAGGTCTCAACACCTGTCACCTATTCTCCTTTCTAGAAGCTCGCTCCTAGTCCAAAGAATTGATTATTAAGGATCTTTGAATCCAAATTTTCCTAAGTACAACAACCTGGACATAATCCTAATTGTTCATGAAACAGATCACAAGTAGAACAAAAGATATGTTTACAACGATTACACATGAATTTAGAAGACTGATTTGTGATAGTAGTGGTAGTGGTAGTAGTAGTAGTAGTAGTAGTAGATGAAGTAGAAAAAACTTGGGAACAACCATAACAAGACGTAGGACATTCTATTTCGTGATTTTCACTCGAACTATCCCCCCCACCAAAAACACAAAAAAAGCTTATATCAGTAAAAAATAAATCATGAATCGATCTTAGAATTTGAATCCGAAAGATAGATACCTATCAATTTCTTTCCAATTAGCTACTGGAAAAAGATGTCGATAACTTCTAGCCAAATGAGGAGAGCTAACGACTGTTAAACCACAAATCAAACAATCGGTAGGTACATCACATAATTTACTACCACATCTAGGACAAATAAATCCAGATGATTTCAATTTAGAATGACAAGCACATAAAGATGGGATCGGATTCGAGAGTTTAGTTGGGAATCCCATTTGCATCAAATCTGATGAAGTGGTATTGGTAGATCGATTGGATTGACTCGTACTTGAGTTTACAAGTGATGGTGGGGGTGGTATGGATTCGAATAATAGCTCTTTGAAATGAGTTTCGTTCATGATCACACCATATTTACCTAAGATCCCGGAGGAAAGAATCAGATCAAAGAACCCAATCAGGGACGTCAACAAGCTTGGTTCAAGGCACGAATGAAACCCTATTAGACAAACCTTTAGTCTTTCGACATATTTCTTTACAAATATTGATCTCTGCAGACAAGCCTACGATCGAAACTCGCATACTGAGATATACAGAGCATGGTATTAGGAAGCGATCGTGTTCCTCAGAGATACTTCAAGAATGGTTGATAAGAGAATGAGGCACATACCGATCTTTTTCTAACTTTTCGATCGTTTTATGTATATCTTCTGGATCACAAGTTGTCAAAGATCCCATGATGACCAAAGTTTCCTTAGATCCATGAGGAGGTAAATGACTATGATCGAGGTGATCATTAGATAGAGACTTATCACACATAAATCTTGATAACCCATAACTCACGCCAGAGTAGCACGTGCCATCTCAAGTGCATTTTGAAGAGATGGCTCTCCTGAAGGTTCGAGTTTACGTTTATTACTCAATGCTTTGTGATGATCGACTGGATTACCTGATATCAGTAACCAAACGCGTAAATCATAAGTGAGAATCTTGTTCATCAATATAATCCAGAAGATCAAAAACATACCAGATAGAGGACTTAACCTTTCAGCAATAGCATCTTTGGTAATAAAGATACACATTTGACTAATTGGATTTTGATCGAAAAACTCGGTAACAAATTCCTATTGAAGATAAACCAAACCAAAGATAATGATGATGAGTTCCAGAATGAGATGTATTTAGGAAAAAGGATCGCGGTCTTGTTAAATGATCACCACACCTGAGCATAGTTTAAACTCATTTCTAATCGATTAGGTCGTAAATCGCGATCGGTCATAGCCAATGAAAGATCGATGACTAAACAAAGATGTCGAATGATACCTCGTTGAATAGAAGTAGTATCTCGAATGATCCTATTCCGATCATAATATCAATACCAATCCATGATCAATAATTGGTTTCTTGACCAAAAGGCATTTGAAGTAAGTTGATTTGATACCTTTTACGTTTATTAGCCATTAATTGATTGACAGCTCCTTCAAGACTACCAGAATCATCTTCTCTAACGTTATCCCAACTTCTTTTGTATTCATCTTCCCAAGCATAACCTTGACCATCTTTACTTGCATAAGCTGTTGCTTTTTTCTTTGATTTGGGTGGAGCTTGAGTACTTGTGTTTGTGGTGGTGGTGGTGGTTTGATTTTGTTTTGATCTTGTGGTTCTACTTGTTGGATTGTAATCTGAATCACCGTCATCTGAATCTGAATCGATAGGTGGCATGTTTTGAAACGAATGAAGTTGATGATAAGAGTGTGGCAGGGCTACAACATAATTTACAATCAAAACCACTTTGTAGAACATATTTCAAGCTTAACTCATCAAGATCGGTTTTGGTTCCTGTATTTCGGTACAAGCCAAGGAATGAACTTTGACAAACAATCAAAACTCTGCTATTTTCATTCAAACTCACACTTTTTGGTCCTTTGAAAGTCAATTGGCATATATTTCTCTTTTGATACTTATCAGTACTCAATTCAGCAGAAGTTCCCCTTTCTGATTAGGGATTGGGCGAAGTGAATTTTTGTAATTGTAATATCATATTTTAGATTATTTTCACGTATCTTCAATTCAATAAAACTGGACAGCTACTTCCAAATCAATCAAGAGAGACAATTTTCAATAAAATCAAAGCAGACAACTATCCACAAGTCCTGCAACTCCACCATTTTTTTGCTTTTGATTTGATCCAAAAATTGTTGTTGTGTGTTGCACTCACCCATCCTCAAGACGTGTGATATCCTTTGATCTGACATATCTTCAGGTTGTCTCCATTTGAAAACCTTGTCTGTTTATACATATGCAGATATAAGTAGTCTGGATTTGCGGTGGATCTGCCAGGCCCTTTGTTGGAGTTGCACCTAAATTCAGTTTTACAATATTTAACCTCGCCCAATCCCTATTAGGGATTGGGCGAAGTGAAGTTTTGTAAAATCGTATTTTAGAGTATATTCACGTATCTTCAATTCAATAGAACTGGACAGCTACTCCCAAATTAATCCAAAGGGAGAATTTTCAATACAATCAAAGCAGACAACCATCCACAAGTCCTGTAACTCCACATTATTTTTTTGCTTTTGATTTGATCTAAAATTTGTGGTTGTGTGTTCCACTAACCCGTCCTAAATGCATGTGATATTCTTTGATCTGACATATTTTCAGGTCAACTCCATACAAAAGCCTTATCTGTTTATAGATATTCGCGGTGGATCTGCCAGGCCCTTTGTTGAAGTTGCATTCAAATCGAGTTTTACAAAATTTCACCTCGCCCAATCCCTATTGTCTTGTTTTAGGAGGGCAGTCTTTAGACATCTTCCACTAGTCTCTTATTGGTAGATTATTCCCTCCACGCTCTGGATAACCCTTGTTGGGTTATAAGTTCTACACTGCGCACCATATTGGAAATCTATGCATGCCCTATTGATGGCAAGTCTCATCTGCCTATACGTGCCGGAAAAGGCCAGTGCATTTACTGTGCCAAATTTGGCCACTATTGCTGCACCAACATGGATCCCCTCAAGAAACCAACATCCAATACTTGGAGTAGATGCTCCAAAGGCAAGTACTGAGCCCAGACGTCCTGGAATCTCTTGCTTTTGAAGACTGTAAGTGTGACTTCCTTGACTCAGAGGCAAGTAAGTGTCCTGACATCAGGTTAATTACAGACAATACCAACCCTCCAGCGTTATCATTGGACAATGTGGACCTTCTTGACTTCATCAAAGAAGCTAGTTAGCTTGCCGGCTTATCTCAAGACACATCTTGGTGGCTGACACTGGCCGTCCATGAATATCCATACACTACGCCAGATTGCAAATTTACCACTGAGTTTAGAAAATCAAAAAGACATAGAAAATTATACACAAGGTGGAAGGGGTCAAAAAAATATGGGAAAATAAGGGTTGCATTCCCCTGTGTGTGCCCATCCTTTTGCATATTTTACAGATTTTCACGGCAGTAGTGTATATCAGGTCAGAAACTCAGTTTGTGTCCAAAACTGGCAGTCATTGAGGCATTAACCTTGTGAGACCAATAAAATTGTCAATCTTGTGTCAACACCTGGAATGTCTGCCAATTCTGAAAGCTACATGTATAATTTACCAGATACACATTAGAATGAGCAGTTTGTGTCCAAAAATGAAGAAGGTACAGCAATCACCGTCCCCAACAGCAAAGCTATGAAAGTTTATGAATCTGTTCCACCAGGGTCTTAGCATCCAAATGGAAACTTTAGATCCAGTGTGTGGCTTCCATAATGTGCAACTGCCAAATTTATTGAAAGAAAATTGTTGTATTACTTTTGCTAAAAAGCTTGGTCCAAAAGAGAAAAAATAAAACAGAATTAGACCCAGAATTCCACTGCAGCAGTCACAACGCAGCAGAGAGAAAAAAGTTTTAGGGTGCTCAGACAACCATACCTTGACAGATACCACTACCCCTTGTGCTGCTCACAAACCAATTGCTTTGCCTGCACTCCCTCTCCCTCTGTCATCTTCACCACCCACTGCACACAATCCAGACAAACCAAGCAATGGATTCCTCAAGATTTCTCAACTCAGAATGGACTTTCCAAGTCTATGATACTACATTTTATAAAAATGCTAAGAGATGCAGGCCCTCAATGACCAAGAAACAAAACACTGCTCAACAAGGAAAGCAGCCATCTGCTGTGTGAAATTCTACAGTGTTCCTCCTATGTTGATAACGAGCATTTGTTAAAAAATGAAACAAAGACATGATGTTGAAGCTTTTAGTATCTTACATATCTTCAACCTGTCCAGTACCAAGCCAAATAACAAAAGTCTGAGATTGAATACCGTATGAAAGATATCCAAAATGCAAGTGAGTTTTCAAGGTAACTGAGGTTGTCAGGATCATTGATGAATTATGAACAATATCAAGACCAATCCCTTTGAATCTGCTATGAGACAATCATACAATTTCGAGTTGAGAATAATCTCAGATCTCTTATGAGGTCAATAAAACTAAGAAATCATGGGGTTTGAATAAGTCATCAAAATCCATTCAATTTGTCCATGGTCCTATGAATGAGCTGAAAAATGATCTCAGTTCTCTCAAAGACATTCAAAATCCAAAGATTGACTGGTTTTGCTTGGTCAAAACCAATTGACCTTCCTTTGTTCCTATGGAAGAGATTGTGTTATGATGTTGTGTAGATGTCACTGGTTTCTTTATGTTTGTATTACATCATATGCTAATACTTTAATCTATCCAAATAGTCTTATAACCTATTAGCATAGTTCATATATCTATTGTAGATTGGTTGTTAGATGGATTGGTTTTCTTCCTCACCTTTCCTATATGTTCTAACATCTTACTTTAATCTATCCAAATAGTCTTATAACCTATTAGCATAGTTCATATATCTATTGTAGATTGGTTGTTAGATGGATTGGTTTTCTTCCTCACCTTTCCTATATGTTCTAACATCTTTCTTCTAGGTAAGTTATCTACTATTTCAATAGAACCTTTCCTATATGTTCTAACATCTTTCTTCTAGTGAGAATCCATCTTATCAGGTTATGAGCCCACCTCGATGATTCTATAAGATAATCAACTCAGAAAACCGTTTCAAAGTAATCAAAAACCATTTGATAATACTTCCAAAATCTTCTAGAAAACCTTAAGGAAAGGTCCATCTGTGTATTCAGACGCTAAACTCAATCAATCGATCAAAATCTCCGATAAAGTTAATCACATACAGTCAACAATACTGTATCACTTCTCTAGTTCACCACTACTTCTTCAATTTGTTTCTAAGACACGTTGATTCCAACGTCAACTGCTGGCGATAAGCTTCCAGCTTCATCTACTCCAGTGTTGTCATCTTTGCGACCAAAAAGTATTGGACAAACAAAAACTGGTGCTTTGGTGGAATCTAAGCCTGCTGCTTCTGTATTGTATTTGAACAAACAATTAGAGGCGACTGGTGTTCAACCATTGGAGGCTCCAGGTCACTCTTCGAACTATCATCAGTGGCAATTTGTGATGGGGACCATCATCAGAGGGTCTTTGTATGGATATTTCATAAAGGATGTTCAACCATATCCATTACCATCTACTGATGAACACGATCGATGCAAAGTTTTAGCATTGATTCTTTGATATGTGAATCCGGCAAATTATGAATTCTTGTTGCCATATGAAGATGATCCTCAAAGACAGTGGAGAGCTCTGTGTGAAGCCCATCAAGATGCTTCATCCGGTTCTATTATGTACTGGTTAAAAAAGCTAGTAACGGCGAAGATGGGTGACAGTTCAATTACCGAACATCTAGAACTCATGTCGTTGGATTATCAACGCTTCAAAGCATTAGTCACTCCTAGCAAGCCTCTTACTGCAGATACTATCTTTGCAACTGCCGTCAGTCTTTCACTTACGTCAGATTGGCAACCAGTTCTTGTGCCGTTATTGCCACGTGATTTGGTATCCTTGACAACTATTCTTAAGGTTCTTAGAGAAGAAGCTACTCAACCTTCTATATCATTGGAAGACGTTGAAATTGTGGTGTCTGTTAAGAATGAGAAGTCAAAGGAGATCAAATGTACTTACTGTGAACAAACTGGACATCGTATTGATGATTGTCGTATCTTGAAGTCAAAATTAGAGAAGTATAAGATTTTAAAAGCCAAAAAATCAGTTCCTGAGGTTGTTAAGCCAAAGCCGTCTAAAAATCAAATTAAACGATCTAAGGCAGCAAAGGCAAAGGCTGATGCATCTTCTCAAATGCAATCTGATTTGGAAGCGTCTATCAATATCAATTCTGAAATATCTGCTGTAAGACCTACGGTCATTACATTACACATAGATCAAAATACTTAATAATTAGGACTTAAACTTAAGGATGCTGTTTCGTTATATATATTGTTTTCAAATTCTACTCCTGGTTCCTTAGTGATCTGGGACTGACTTCCCACCTCATATCCTTCGGAACCAGGTACGTCTTATTTCTTTTCATTTTCTCTTACTTTGTTCTATAGTTGTGGTTATGATGGTTAGAGTGATCTGGGACTGACTTCCCACCTCATATCCTTCGGAACCAGTCTCCTTTACTGGGATCTCTGTTGGTTTGAAATATAAAAAGTCTCTTGGGTTCTAGAAACCCTGTCCCGCTGTGCCTCACAGCGTCCCTGTTATTGTGATCTCGAGTGAAGGTCATACAGACCTTACACTTTTTTTTTCTCAAACCCAATTCCGAGACACCGACGCCAACTTTACAGCGATCACTTCGAACTGTTCAATTTTAATTACCCCATACCAATTGAAACTTAATCTCATTCAATCCGAATCAACTCAATTGTACTCAATCACCATATTATCTCACTACAGTTCGAAACACCTCTGGTTCTCCACACTCTGGAGAACCATCCCGACCATTCGGTCGATCATCTTTTTTTTCTTCGTATGAATACTAGGACTGCGGGAAAATCAGACCCAATTGGTCAAGCCGGACCTTTGCCAGACCCAGAGGCGATTATTCGAGCGGCTAACAAAGCTAATCGACTCGCCAAGCTAGAAAACAAGCAAGACATTCAGACTCAGACTCAGACTCAGCCAGACTCAGACTCTTCTAATAGCCAGCAACCATCTCTGCCAGATACTCCCTCTAGACAACGTACCGACACCTTACTACCATTTAAGACCGCACCGCCGTACTTACAACATCTGAAAAGCAAGCAGGGTTGTGCCACGATGAGCGAGCAGGGCCAATCAGCAGCAGACGACAAGCCTATGCCCGATCTAGTTAGACTCGTTCTGGAATCTCAGCTTGCCGGGAATAGACGCATGGAAAAGCTAGAAGAAATTGTTTTAAAACTTGCAGAAAATCAGACCAATGCAGCAGCAGACGCAGCGACGACAGTATCTAGAGAGGAGGGCAGCATCGACCTCACGAGATTCCGCACAGCTGATGGACCTGTCTTCAAGGGTCCGTATCACGATGTCAAAGCTTTCTTGACGTGGTTTTCATCCTTGAAAACTTTCTTTCGTACCAAGGGCGTCATACTAGACGAAGATCGA